AAACTACGGGGAACCATGCAAAAAACGCATCTTCGCGCGGGCAGCCCGTGCGTTGGCCAATTTTTTATTTTTGCGGCAGAATTCACCGTAGGCTGGCCGTTTATGGATCGCCGAATTTTGTTCCCCAGTTTTTGTAATTCCAAAAACTATGGAACTTTTCATCTCTAGTGGTAGAACGCATGTTTTTGTGATCGGACCTGTTGTTCTTCTATATCTAGTCTTCGGTGTGATCTTAAATCTTCGTAACAAGTGTGCAGAACCTCGAAAAACGGTCGCTGTTTTATAAGCTACCCACTTCTTACCTAACAATAACATTAATTCAGTTTCGCTTTGCTAGTGTTCTGTTCGTTCTCACCCAGTCGTTGTTGTGAATAAGCAAAATTTTCCGTGCAGTTCGGGAAAGTCATAAACTAACAATATGATATATGCGTCCTGAGCAGCTTGAAGGTATATTAACATACAGATCTACGCCACCAAATTTAAAAATGTCAGATTTTTGGGCTCCCTAAGTGGAAATGATGTATTTCTGCACCTAAATTTTGTCTGTAAGAAATTGCTTTGTTTAAATAATATTTACAGTCGGTAGGATATGCGGAAAAAAGTCCAGAAGAGATGAAAGAGAGAAGTTTAGGTGTCAAAGTCCTTATGCTTAGAGTAGGAATTTTAGTTAAAAACGGGGCTTATCCAGTTGAAATGATGCTGATTTTAGCAAAATGGATACCATACTACTGTTTGATGTATTTGAACTTCTTTGGGCCTTCTTGTGGGTGGAGAATATAAAAGAATAGCGTTTTTTTGGCATTGAGATATAAAATTTGAGTAGTACTCTTTTTCCGGTGTGTCGAAACATGAACCACCTGCTTTTGCTAACTGTTAGAGACTGACATTGCTGCACGATTGTGCGTACTGTGTTAGTTTTGCCATTGTGCTTCTGTGTTCGTAAAGTTTTTTTCGTATGTCAGTTTGCCTGATGAACTGCAGGAATGGGACGAGAAGTGGAGAATTTGATAAAAGAGAACACAGAATTGCTGGAGACGAAAAACGCCCTAAATATTGTCAAAAACGATTTGATCGCTCGCGTGGATGAATTAAGCAGGTAGATATTGTTTTTTAGTTTCAAGATAAGCGCATTTTCTTTTTTTTTCACGCATGCATTTTAAGCCTGCTTGCGAGAGAATGCAGAAGGCATTCTGTAGTAGAAAAGCTGCAAGGTCGCAGGATGTGCGAACAATACATGTAGCATTTGTCTTCGAGAAAATGATGAAAGAAAGAGGAAACAGAGCACTAGAACACCGAAAACAGATTTCTGGGTAGTGTATCTATAAAAACCCAGTATCCGCACCAATGTTGCCGGTGTGATCATGCGTTTTTGTGTCATATCCATACAAACAATGTTAGTGTGCATGGAAGTGTCGTACAGAATAGGCGTTGTTCTCATAAAATATCAGCTTTCATG